TCTGTACCTGTGAGTTTCTGGAAGTAAACGTCTTGTATTGGAGCTTTTCGTCTTTGAGCCCTTATTCACACACGCTACACCGTGACAGTAGCAGGTTGTAAAAAAAAAAAAAAGGGTTTTTTATTTTGTTTTTTGGATCGTTGTGAAATCTGACGTGGACATTTCTTGTGAGATTCTACCCAAAACGGCATTAAAAAGCATTTTCTCTCAATCTCTTGTCTTGCTGATGCTACTTTTAGAGATGTGATGATATTTGAGCATCCCTGTGTGCCCACACAACACAGACTGTACAGCACTGTACGCACCTTCCCATGAACTCCCTGACTGGCCCATGAAGAGCCGCTCGTGATGGCCATAATAATTAAGCAGATACAGACAACACAACGGAGGAGCTGCAGAGAGACGGAGACCGTGTGACCAGCAGAGACATGCAAATACACGCTCACACATAGGACCATGGGGGACACTGACTGATGGGGACTTTCAGTTTTGTGATGGTTATAATGTGATTAGTGCTGATCATAATGAATGGAGTTTTAAGGCTTGATGAGTATGTGGTGAAGGACTGGAATACTAAAAAGAACAATGGATTTATACAAATGGGTGGATGAAGAAATGCCCATTTCTTTATAGACAAAATAGTATAAAATGCTCAAGAGCCATCCTTCACCGATAACTCAGTTGTCATCTCACAAGTTATGTGCAGTTTACTAGGAACTTTTATCTTCGTTTACTGACCTGTGTTTTTCAAAACATTACTTTGGTTATCTTATACAGACAGTGATGTTATTTTATATGTATGCCTCTTGTCTAAAAACTGTAAAAGTGTTTTATGCATCGCTTTTAGAGTAAGATCATTCTTAATTTAATCAATGAAACTGGTTTATAATAGCATGATAGCCTAGGGCCATAATAAGTCAAATGAACCACACTTTTGAAACTGTCATTGTTTTTTTTGTCTTTAAGCATAAAAATATTCAGTCCTCATTCTTTGTAAGTGAATGGAAAAGAGCAATGAACTGGTTTGGAATGACTTCTGAGCGAGAAAATGATGACAGAATGCTCATCTTTGGTTGAAATTTTCATAAGCATCTTCAGAAGTCTGAAATAGAGGTGAGGAATGTCTAGTGCACCAACAAATGAAAGTTCTGTCATCATTTACTCACCCCAATGTCATTCCAAACCTGTATTTTCTCTTTTTATCCTGTATAACATAAAAGATTATACAAAATTGTAGTGTTGTAGAATTCATGACCGGTCTTAGTCTCGGGAAAAGGAAAAGGTAAAAACCTTTTCTGCTAGATGCCCTAATATCACAATATGGCCTGTTCAGCAAGGCGGTAAACGCTATTGCTGACAGGTTTAAAGCGGCTAAGAAACAAATTATAGCATTTCAGCAATTTATCCCTCACCATGTCCAAGGGCCTGAGGCCTCAATCAGACAGCCTCGGCCTGCCCGAATCCCCCCTGAAATGGCATCTCAGCACCATTTGGACCCAGTCCACTGCCCAGGTTGGCTCAATGCTAGAGTTCCTGCAGGAGCGTCTTTCATCAGGACTGTTACCTGTGGGTGTTTCGGCTTGGCACGTTCACCTCCAATGTCTTCTGTGGGAGCCGCCCTGGTCTCTAGCTTCTTGCACTCATTGTGCTTTTGGTGTCAACCTCAGAGAAGCTTATGAATCTCAAGGCGTCTCTGTTATTGGCGCTAACTTCGCTCAAAAGAGTTGAAGACTTGCAGGCAATTTCAGTAGCTGCGTCCTGCTTAGTCAAAGTCATTACACCCTAGGAAGGATTACGATCCGAAGGTGAGTTCTTCAACCTTTCATCTTTTCATCATTCTCCCTTTGCCATTTGAACTCGGAGCAGGAGAGGCTTTACCATTTGTATCCAGTCAGGGCCCTTAAGGTGATGATACACAGGCAGTGGTGTAGTGCAGGGTATACGCAGGTATACGGCGTATACCCACTTCTTTTTCAGTCGGCATTGCGTATACCCACCTCTAAATCCCCTCTGATGCGCATCATTTAGTAGCTAATTCAATCTCATGTGAATAAAAAACACCCAGTCAGGGTCGTATCATTGAGATCCCCGAGGTCCTGACCTCAGTCGTTTTTTTAGTGTAGCCTATATAATGAAAGTTGTGAAATAATTCCCTAATATTAACTCTAATTTGGTGCTGCAATGATTCTCCCATCGCGACGATAACTGACCTTCTCATCTATACTGCTTCAGCACTCAAACACCCGCTCGTCAATGTCAAAATGTTTGAGACCAATCAAAGCAAGCAGGATTTTTGTTCACAGAAGCGCGAGCCGAGCGCGAATCCCAACGCGACGCTTCACTTCACGATCATACAGTGCGAGATAAGATGCAAGTAGCTAAAATATACGGCTGTTTTTCGATAGAAGTCAACCGACAGAAATAATCAGTTTGCTCAAAGACAGTGGAAATGATAAGCTCAATTTAACAACACAAGCACCATATTAAATATATTGCCATTATTATTGTATAAATAAGTATATTTGTATAACGTTTCCTCGAATGTGTTCGACTTTTCACTGTTTGTATCACTCCGCTTGTCTGTGTTTGCTCAACTTGCATCATTAAGCCAGAAGGCAGCGACAAGTGACTGTCTTTATGAGTGAGCAATTGAACCATTAATTAAATGAACAGATTAGTCCAAAAACATTGATTAATTTAGGAAAGAAAAAGTAGCTGAAACTGGAACTGATTCTCATGTTCAATCTGATCAAATACTTCATGCTTTTTAATAGCAATATCATTTATGGGACCTGGGTATTTAGAAAACCAAGTAAAAAAGTGCAGGCCTGATATGCAAGAATACTAGTAATTCTATATATGTTCTATTCTCTTCATTATATTCTATATTCTATAGTCTAGCATATTCAATACTAATGCAAGACTAGTCTTACATGTCACTGTTTATAACACTGATCGTTCGTCCTTTGCTGGGACGCTTAAAAAAAATATTGGGGGCATAAATTAAGAGTATACCCACTTCTCCAGGCACCACTACATTACTGTACACAGGGAAACTTTTAGAGCAATGTTGCTGGGCAATGTTGCCGAGCTATTCTTGCTTGGGCACTTTCCCATTGAGAATGGGCAACAAATTTATATCTGGATAATTTAGATCGGTCATGGGCCTTGTGTCTCACCTGGTTCCCCGTTGACGGAAACATTGCCCAGCATATCAAGTATATCATCACCTATAGGATTTATGTTGACCACTCGGGCTTGTGGTGTAAATCTAATAAACTGTTGGTCTGCTTGGAAGGCACAGCAAAGGTTTTGCTGCCACCAAGCAGTGCTTGTCCCACAGTATTACTAATGCGATTTCTTTTGCCAGCGAGGCACACGGTCTGGCCTTTGCATCAGAGCTCACTCTACTCGGAGTATGGCTTTTTCTAAGGTGCTATCCAAGGGTGCATATTTGCAGGATGTTTGTGCTGTGGCAGGGCAGCCCCTCCACAGATATTCATAGGGTTTTAAGGCATGGATATGGATTAAACCCTAGACTTACAGGTCCTGTTGGGTTAATTTTATTTTGCCTGCCCACAGGATCTGTGCTTGTACATATTTTTAACAATCTTGTTAGGCAGGCATATTTCAGTATGGTGGCGAGGGTATTAATGTTCCCATAGCATCAGCAACCATGGCGCAGCCTTGAGTTCACTCAAATGGGAATGTCTCAGGTTACACATGAAGGGTACGCTCCCTGAGGATGGAACTAGACACTGCGTTGCTGTGCCATTCTGAAAAATGCCTGCGCAGCTTCTTCAAGTAAACAGAATCTGGGAATTCCATGACGTAGGTGCACTCTTATGGTCTTGATGACGCTTCTACGCTTCATCTGTCGGCCAATAGAATTGGCGTGATTATGTGCTTCAGACACTGGCAAACACTGAAGGCGTTCCCATAGGGTCAACAATCATGATGCAGCATCTCGTTCCCTTCTCAGGGAACCAAGTTACATACGTAACCTGAGAAGTTTTTATTAATAGTTTGTATTGTGAGTCTCATATTGAGTACAAAACATGCATTACTGACCAAGCATATTACATGGAGACAGATTTCTGTTAACAAAGGGCTGGTTGGCTATTACCTTGGTTCATTTGATTAAAACTCTCAGGTTTATTAAAGCCAGATTTGTAAACAATGTCTCATTTGCTGACGATGTTTTGAGTTCACTAGGACATTAAACTGAGCTGCAGTGGCATGATTAAGCAGGATTTATCTGGGATTTAGAGTTCTTCTCCCAATATGATCTGGCCTGAGCGAGTGGGCGGTCATTATTAATCTATTAACATGAACATCCGACTTGCAAGACCAGCTTTAATCAGCCGAAAACCACAAGAGCAGGCAGACAAGAAAGCCAAATAAGAAGGGCATGAGCGTGACATTAAAATAAGAGGACTAACAGAAAGATTAGGGGGGGGGGGGGGGGGAAGCCATATTCAGTTAAAATGGTTATAGGGAAAATGTAGGTCATTGCAGATAAAACAATAACACAGCTCTTCAAATATTTACTAACAGAAAGTTGACAAAGATGTAGATTCATGAGATTCATGTACTAGAACTCTGTCTGAATTTCATTAAAAAAAAAACATTTTAGTTTAAGTTTTAAGTACCCTATCTTTTGATCATCATTTTCTTGGGAATTAAGTAATGGAATTATTATAATTATTATTATTATTATTATGTCATGACGAAAATGACCACAATGCAATAAGCTCTTAAGCTGTTTGTTTGAGCAAAACGGAAAAAAACCTTAACATAAATTATATTCGCAATTTAACCAATTTTGTAAATGACTATAGTAAATAAAAAATGACTGAATAAAAAGATGATGTGTGAGAGGACATGATATATCATTGTGTATATGATATAGATGGATAATAGAAACTGGAGCGAGGAAAAATATGTGCATGACATGTTAGATCAAGATGGTTTCAGGGGTGATTAAGCTGTCCTCTTACCCATCTTAGACTTCCCGTCCTCATACTTTGTGCGCTGTAGTACATGATGTACTATTCTGCTTCTGGTTGAGTTTGAGAAAAACGTCTCTCTGTTGTTGATGGTAAAGCTAAAAGAAAGTAAAGTACATTGTTTTAATACACAAATGTGTAGTAGGTTGCATGCATTCATCTACTTTACTGAATAGAGTAAAGATTAATACGCTACAGCAGCCTAGAGATCAGAACTCAGATATTTAGTATGTCAGTGTAAATATCAAATTAGAGAGGATTGTAGCTGAGCTGACCCAACACATCAAGCTCAGAGCAGATTGTGTGGATTACTCCCAGCTGTCTCAGTATACAGACAAAAAAATATACATTAAAGAATGACTTCTTTTCCTTGATGAATCTCACAGAACCTATCAACAACATGTTCAGGTCATGCACCTCAAAATCAAAAGAAAGGAATCAGAATAAAAATTTTAGGTTACTATTTTTTTTTTTTTTTCAGTACGTGCACTTACGGTGTATTTACCCAATAAAGTACTCAGTAATATAAGGTAACTACATGGGTTGTGGTTAGATTTAATGGAAGGTTCAGGGTTTAGTACCTAGTTATTACCTAGTTATTGCAATTACTATAATAAGTACATAATATGTACATGGCAGGTGTCATGTTTCAATGTGTTTAAGTTCTGTTTTGGTATCTGGTTTCCCCCTGTATTTGTGATTTTGGTTTAGTCCTGTTATTAGTTCAGTTTTGTGATCTTGTTCACCCCTGTCTTTGTGATTTTGGTTCAGTCCTGTTAGTTCCCTTTCGAGAGGTTCCTCCTATTGCGTAAGTAGCTTACGCTATGGGAAAACTCCTTTTCTCGAGAAATATTGAAGTCTTTATGTAAAACGCATTGCAGCTGCACAGCATACAGCAATGAGCGAGGCAGCTCGGTCATTGGCTGTGCTGCGGCAACTGCACGAACCTATGACCTATAACGTTATGATTAATCTCCTTCAGCAAAGACCTTCTCTTCGCTGGATCCTCCGGATTTTTGGAGTCTTTTCACCGCCGGCGTCCTCGAAGCAGTCCTGCTGTAGGCTTGTCGACGGCGGCGGTGAAAAGACTCCAAAAATCCTGCCGCCTTCGATCGCCTTCTGCGAAGCCATCCGGCGCACAGCACATATATCCTTTTCAAAGCTACCAGTGTTCGCCCCCGCGACACTTTCTAAAAGAGCAAATTAACTGGGCGTTGTTTCAAATGCCTTCCTGCGCCTCGTGTCAAGCCCTCTTCAGGACGGGAATCGTCACATCATTTGCACCCGCTGCCTGGGACCGGACCACGCAGAGGCTGCCCTTACTCTGCCCTTACTCCGCCCCTCGAGGAGGCCGTGGCCAATCACCTGTGTCCACCCTCCACAGCTGGATGGAAAGCCAAAGCTTCTCATCCCTCGAAGCCTTGCCGATCTACTTCAGCTCTCGCCGGTCGCACATACGCCGCCGCCGGCCAAGCTGCGTCAGCGCTTCACTCCATGGCTGTCCTCCAAGTGTTTTAAGCTAAACTTCTCCGCACCATGGACGAGTCTGGACCTGATCCTGAGGCATTCAAGGATCTGCGCAGCGCCACTGACATAGCACTGCGAGCCACAAAAGCCACCGCCCAATCCATCGGCCGTGCTATGGCTAACCTGACTGTCCTTGAGCGCCATCTGTGGCTGACGCTAACAGAGATGAAGGATGCAGATAAGGCGTCGTTCCTCGACGCGCCTATCTCCCAAAGCGGCCTGTTCGGACCAGCGGTGAAGGAGTTCACTGAGCGCTTCACCGAAGCCCGTAAGGATTCGCAGGCTATGCGACACTTCCTGCCCAAGCGATCTAGCTCATCGCAGAGCCGCCAAAAGCCGCCTCAGCAGCAGCGAGTCAAGACGGCGCCTCCCGTCTCTCAGCCCAGACCTGAAACTGACTTTTGACGCCGCTCGCGCTCTCCCAACAGGAAGCAACCGCCCGAGCGACGGGGACCTCGGCCCAAGATTGTGCTGAACCCAGAGCCTCGTAAGTCTTCCTAGCTACAGGGAGAAAGAGAGAGAGCGCGTGTCTCACAGAAGCCGGACCGCTCTCTCCAAAACGTCTAAAGCATTACCCAGTCCCCTTACAGGCGGCTGGAAATGTCTGTACAGCAGCCAACGGGCCAGCCGCACAGCTCGTTCACCTGCAAACAAACGCCGTTTTTACGGCGACACACAGAAATCACATAAAGAGCCATTTTCTGCCTGTGTCATTAAGGGGTCACGTGTCCACACTAAAGTGCGCATTCCCACATATCAAAACTGTCAAAGCAGTGCCAAATGCTTTCCCAGCTCAGGCTGGACGCCCCATAAATGTAGATTGTGTGCCCACTGTCATGTATCCACCACTACACATAAGCACTGTTCCCACAGTTATAAACACTTCCCCAGTAAAAGCGGGAAATTCTATAAGAGTAGCGCGTGTGCCCACTGTTATGCACGCACCCCAACTCACAAACACTGTTTATATGGCCAAAAACCTCCCGCCACGAGCGGGAAGTTTTATGAAAGTGGCGCGCGTGCCTACCACAGTCTATGCACCCCCACCCATAAGCACTGTCCATACAGTCTTAAACATTTCCCCAACTCACACTGTGAGCATTACAGATGTGGCAAGCGTGCCTGTAATCTCACACGCGCCCCTGCACTCGGCATTCAACAAAGCTGCTCAGCGCGCGCCCGCGCCTCTGAGAGCTGTAAGCTCAGTATTAGCACAGGGCGATTTACCGGCGGGAGCCATACGTCACTGCGACACGCCCCCAGCCAGCATTCAGCCCATATCTGTACGAGCGAAAGCTTGGGAAAATATCCCCGGCATGCCGAAATGGGTTTTGAACATAATAAAACACGGTTACTCGCTTCAATTCGCTCGCAGACCGCCCCGCTTCACAGCGGTGGTCGAGACGAAAGTGAGAAAAGATGTTTCACATGTTCTACGCACCGAGGTGCTCAAACTGATTGAGAAGGGCGCTATAGAAACAGTCCCTCCCTCTATGAGCGAGGCAGGTTTTTACAGTCGCTATTTTCTCGTCCCGAGGAAGGATGGTGGTCTCCGCCCCATTCTGGATCTCAGACATCTGAACAAAGCTTTAATGATTCGCTCGTTCAGAATGTTAACAACCAAACATATCCTCGCGCAAGTTCGCCCAGGGGATTGGTTTCTATTTGTGGATCTGAAAGACGCTTACTTTCACATTCCGATAGCGCCTCATCACAGGCCATTTCTGAGATTCGCTTTCGAGGGACAGTCATACCAGTACACAGTACTACCATTCGGCCTGTCACTGGCACCCCGTACATTTACGAAATGCATGGATGCATCACTTTCCCCCCTGAGACAGCGGGGAGTGCGAATACTGAATTATCTCGACGATTGGCTAGTCCTAGCACAATCAGAGAGCCAGTTAGTGACACACAGGTCTTGGATTATCAGTCATCTAGAACGCCTGGGTCTAAGAATCAATTTTGCAAAGAGCATGCTATCCCCCAGCCAGAATATTTCTTTTCTGGGAATAGTGCTAGACTCAGTGCAGATGACGGCACACCTCTCATCAGAGCGCACGCTCACTATCCGGCGCCTTGCAACATCGTTCAGCGCGCGCCCCCGACAAGCGATTTCAAAGGATGCTCGGTCTCATGGCCTCAGCATCAGCTGTACTCCAGCTAGGATTGTTGCACATGCGTCCTCTCCAACGCTGGCTCAAAAGCCGTGTCCCCACTCACGCGTGGCGCTCGGGCCACTTTTTAATCAGAGCGAATCATGGCTGCATAAGAGCCCTGACGCCCTGGAAAGCTGTCGACTGGTATCAGTCCGGTGTGAGTCTGGGCGTGAACACAAGGAGAAAAATGATCACGACAGATGCCTCCAAAATAGGTTGGGGGGCCCTTTACGAGGGCAGGCCTGTCTCCGGCTTGTGGTCAAACCCGGAGAAGCGCCTACATATAAACTGTCTGGAATTGAAAGCGGTTGCTTTGGCTCTCAGAGCCCTGCTTCCGTACCTGAAGGACGAGCACATCCTGGTCCGAACGGACAACATGACGGTAGTCTCGTATATAAATCGTCAGGGTGGACTCAGGTCGAGCTCCCTGCACTCGATGGCCAAGGAACTCATCCTTCGGCCGGCTCGTTGGATAATTACTTTGCTTAAAGGCTCAGGCATCTACCTCCGGCTTAATAGAGCGAAGTCAGCACGCACGGCATTTTACATGGTGTTCCCATAGCGTAAGCTACTTACGCAATAGGAGGAACCTCTCGAAAGGGAACGACTCGGTTACTAACGTAACCTCGGTTCCCTGAGAGGAGGGAATGAGTATTGCGTAAGCTGCCGTGCTTGTGCTTGGTCAGTTCGCTTTAGTCGATTGAACCTAAAGAACTCAGACGACGGGGCGCCCATCTTGGCGGGCTCTGACGCGCGCGGGCGCGAAGCACGCCCATTGGAAGCGGGTTCAGAGTCGCCCCGTCATAGGTTTGTGCAGTTGCCGCAGCACAGCCAATGACCGAGCTGCCTCGCTCATTGCTGTATGCTGTGCAGCTGCAATGCGTTTTACATAAAGACTTCAATATTTCTCGAGAAAAGGAGTTTTCCCATAGCGTAAGCTACTTACGCAATACTCGTTCCCTCCTCTCAGGGAACCGAGGTTACCTTAGTAACCGAGTCGTTTTCCCGCTCTGTCTGATTAGTTATTCCCTTCACATGTGTTCAGTTAATTATCCTATTAGTCCCTGTTCATTTAAGCCCTGTGTTTTCCCTCAGTGTTTGTTGGTCGTCGTCGATGTATGGTTGTGTGTTCCTGAGTTTTCCTGTACCTGAGTTTATGAATAAACCAGCTGCATTGAAATTCTGTTCCCTCGTCTTCAGTATCCTGCAACAACCCTGACAGAACGACCAACCTTAAAAAATTACAAAGATGAATCAACGGTTCTTGGGCACTCGGTTGGCTAGGTTTAGGGGAACCCGGGGCGGTCACATTAGGGGAGGTGATCGAGCCCACCAGAACCTAAGCCTATCGTCTACCCACCAGCACCTGAGCCAATCGCCTACCCACCAGCACCTGAACCCATTGCCTACAC